AGTCCTAGTGGCGGTGTACCCCAGAACGGTTGTCAGAGGCCTGCGATCCAGGCCCAATTCTGCCCTTCCTGGGTTGCCACGTGTCTAGGCCCAGGACGGGACCTCTGCACTAGCTCCCTAAATTAGGTAGGGTTTCCTGGCAGACCTAATCTATACCCCTGCCACGTGGGAGGCCAGCGCCGCGCACTGCTCTGCTAGGGTCACCTCTGGCAAAGTGTCGCCACTGAAAAGCTGCGCCCTTGTCCTTTCAGTTGTCGCGTCTCTTCGATCTCCATACCATTCTTAAATGCGTTCACATGGGGTCGGTTCAAATTCAAGCAACCGTTTTCCCCCCATTTCCTCCCCTATAAATAGCAGTTACCAAATTCCATTCGCCATTTCCTCCTTCCTTCGTGTATTTCTAATTTCTAGCAACAAGGCTTCCGGTCTCTCGTGCCCAAATTCCGGCGATTCCTTCACTTTTACTCTATTCACCAGTAAGTCCTTCCCCCTTTTCTTTCGCATTTTCCTTTCCTCCGCCACCTCTTGCTTTTTATGTCGGATCATTCTGGCGTCACTTCCACCGCATCTCAGATTCCTACCCGGCGTAGAGCCCTCAGGATTCTCATTTCTTCTTCATCTTCATCCTCATCTTCACCGTCGCCTCTTCCTCCTCATCTCTCTTCCTCTTCTGCTTCTAATCCCGACCTGTTCGAACCCATAGCCATCATGAGCTCTCCTTCCACCCGGATCCTAGAGGAGACGGCCTAGCTCGATGCCTATATCGAACGACAGGCTACCTCCATCCCTTCGCCCAAGTCTCCACATGACTCCCCTGGCGGAGCCCAGAGAGAAATTGGGGAAGACAGGGACTCCTCCGAGGGGACCCCTGCTTCTTAGCCGGGGGATGATCCTGAATTCAACTATGGTTACCCCGACCAGCAGGAGGCCACCCTCTCACTCGGGGCAGTGGCCGAGTTGGCCGAGTCTTTTTCCATTCCTCCGGCCTTCGAGCCGAGGGCAGCCAGGCCCAGCTACCGAGCCAGCCGACCTCCCCCCGACTTTGTGGCCATCTACAGGGAGCAGCTGATCGCAGGGCTCCGGCTCCCCATTCTTTCAGTCCTAACCGAGATTCTGAGCTATTGGGGGCTCAGAATCACCCAAGTCCATCCCAATTCGATCAAGATCATCATTGGATTCCTGATCTATTGTAAAATCTGCTCCATCCCCTACTCTCTTTCCCTCTTCCGGGCCACCTACATCCTTAAGCTCTCTCTCCCTGGGTGGTACTACTTCTCCCGCCGAGGTGCCAGTCAAGGTCGGGGGAGAAAAGGCACCCAGGATCTGTTCTACGGGGTACCTTCTTTCGTCAAAAATTGGAAGGAGGACTTTTTCTTTGTTAAGTTCACACATTTTTCCCCCAATATGTGGAAGGATGGGGAGGTCGAGCCCGACCCCTACCCAGAGGACTTAGACTTCGAGACTCTCAGCCAGTTGGTGAGCTCCAAGGTGAAACTCCATGCCGCCAAATTCTCCACCGAGCAGATATTTGCGGCCGGTCTGATAGGGACGTTGTCCGGGTCCCCTGGAGAGGTGGTGACCTCCCCTACCGACCTCGACGCCTGTAACGCCGACTCTGTCCCTGTAGCTCATTGCATTTACATATATGTATATTATGATTTTTAGACTGACCTGTTTTTGCTGACCTGGCTATGTTTGCTACAGTGAAGAGGCTCTCCAAGCTTCTGGGCGCGCCTATCGTGGAGGTTGCCCCCACCCTTCCACCAGAGGCTGCCAAGGAAGCCTCAGGGGCGTCTCCGGCCCCGGGGGGCGGCTCAGCCCCCTAGAAAGAAGCGCCACACTCCTCCCCTTCCAAGCAGGCCGCCAGCAAGAAGAAGACGACTGGGCAGAAGAGGGGTCGAGGGGACGAGCCCTCCCAACCCGGGAAGAAACTCGCGCTGATTTCGACACAGCCCCCCTCCAGCTGACGGGGGGTCCAGTCCATCTGGGCGTTGGCTCCGCTGAGGAGCATGCTCGGAAGTCGCCTCCCTCGAGTTGGTAGCACTTCCGCCACATAGCCCCCTTGAAACCGGGCCAGGCCCCCACTACGCACGACCCCCGCTGCTTCTGTCCATCCTGAGGGCTTTCTATCAATGACCGAGCCCAATTCCCCAAGGTGCCTCCCGAGCTGATCGCGGGCTCCGTCCTCCAGCGAGACAGGAAGTGGATGGAGCTGGCCAGTCCCTCCGAGCTCCAGGACGCGTATTACACCGCCCAATCCCAAGCAAGTTTTCTAGCCCTGGGGTCAGTTGTGCCTTTGTGTTCTGACTAGATAGCGTAGTGCGCTGACCTCTTCTTCCTTCTTCTCAGGCCAATGCCGCTGGTGCTGCCCTGGTGACCCGCTTCTCCGAACTGTTTCCCGACTTGGAGAAATTGCAGAAGAAGAACCGGGAGACAGAGCAGAATCTTACCCAGGCCCTCAAGGAGGCGGACTCCCTCAAGGCCAAGGTGGGCAAGGTTGAGAAGGAGCTGGAAACAGCTCAGGTCCAACTCGCATCCACTAGGTCGGAGCTCGACCAGGAGAAGGCGGGCGTAGCAAAGCTGAGGGAGGATCACGCCATCGAACTCATAGGCACCGTCAGCCGGGAGCGGAAGAAGTCTGTTCGGGAGTTCATCTCCTCCCAACAGTTTGCCGAGGACATCGCTCTCCTCAACCAGCCTATCCTCCAGGTCGGCTTCACGCGAGCCCTGGACCGGGTCAAGGAGTTCGGCCTGCCTGGTTTCGACTTGGCCGCGTTCAAGGAGTACAATCCTGTCGCCGAGGAGAAGATGGACTGGCTCTTCGAGGGGTACTGCAAGGGGCATGCCCTGAAGGAGCTGGCAAGCAGGTCTGACGTGGGAGCCGACCTGGAGGAGGTTCCCTTGGAGGAGGACGAGGCTCCTGGCAGAGTTTCCGGGAAGGAGGCGGTGGCCTAGGGCAGTGACCACTCCAAAAACCCTTTCCATTTTCTTATAAGGATGTGACCATGCTTCAGTTGAAAATTCTCTTGAAGGTCCATCCGAGATGGATAGGTTCCCCTGCCTTTAGGTTCAGGGCCTTCACAGCTACCTTCCTGAATAGCCTTTATCATACGCCTCTCAACATGTTTAAAGTGTACGTTCAGCTCCTGCTCCAAGCAGGTTACCAGTAAAAAGAAGAGGGACCGAGCTGTACACAGCTAGGTCCTCCTTTCCCCTTCCTTTTTATAGCTCGGTATACTTTGTAATAGATATGTTTCGAATGCACATATAAAACTCGAAGGAAACTATCTAGTGTCGACTGGGAAGCTTTGTAATAGATAGGATTTGAATGCATATATAAAACTCGAAAGAAACTACCTTGCAATTCTCGCCTGCGCCAAACTCTAGCAACCAAAGCCATGTGCCGACCTCCTGGGTCGAGCACCAAATATATCCCCTTTTTAATCTAACAGTTAAATTGTCAAGGGCAATCAGACTATCAAAACCATGTGCTGACCTCCCGGGTCGAGCACCAAGTAGACCCATTAAGGCGACGTGCCGACCTCTTGGGTCGAACGTCTGACTTTGAAGGCGTTCATGTCGACCTCCTGGGTCGAGCGTCGAACTTCCGAATTTTAACAAACTCACAATAGTTCAAGCCGTGCCGACCTCTTGGGGCGACGTGCCAGCCTCTCGGGGCTGAGCACCAAACTTTAAGAATAGTCCTGCCGACCTCCTGGGTCGAACGTCTGACTTTGAAGGCGTTCACGCCGCGCTGACCTCTTGGGGCTGAGCGTCGGGTTTTCAGATTTCACAGCCTCAAGCCGTGCTGGCCTCCTGGGGTCGAGCACCGGCAAACTTCCAGACTTTGAAGCTTTAAGCCGCGCCGACCTCTTGGGCCGGACATCCATTCGTGCCGACCTCTTGGGACGTCTGACTTTGGAGGCGTTCATGCCGACCTCCTGGGTCGAGCGCCGAACTTTCGGACCTCGGTGCCGACCTCTTGGGGTCGAGCATCCAGTCTAAACTTTGAAGCCGTGCCGACCTCTTGGGGCCGAGCGTCGGGCTTTCAAGGCACTCTGTCCATTACCCCAACCCCCCACTAGGACACTTAACATTGTCTGAGTGTGCTAGTGTAGGACTTAAGCTAAAAAATTAAACGGTATTGATAACGAAGAGCTTAAAACTTGAAAATCAAACATTTATTTAATGATGAACTTGTATGTGGGTTCCGAAGAACAGACAGTAAGACATCCTGGCCTAATCTATCCCACGAACAACCGCAGATTCGAGAAGTGCCAAGTGCGGGGTACCTCTGATCCATCCATTTTCTCGAGCTTGCAGTAACCAGCCCAACTCGCTTCCAGGATCTTGTACGGTCCCTCCCAATTGGGGTCGAACTTGTTGGAGTTATGAACTCTGCTGACCGAGTTCTTTCTTAAGACAAGATCTCCCCGCTGGTACTGTATGTTCCTCACTTTGGCGTTATGATAGCGGACGAGCTGGCTTTTATACTTAGCCATCCGTATCGCCGCTTCCTCACGCTTGGCCTCCAGCATGTCCAAGCTACATCTCAGCTCTTCCTTGTTGGATGACGGAACGAAATTCTATGTCCGATGCAAGAGGAGTCCGATCTCCGCGGGTACCACCGCTTCTACCCCATAAGTCAGAGAGAACGGGGTCTCGTGGGTGGCGGTCCTGGGCGTAGTGCGGTAAGTCCAGAGGACGCTAGGGAGTTCATCTAGCCAGTTAGACTAGACTAGTTCTAGCCTAGTTTTTAGTCCTTAGAGAATGGTTCGGTTAACATTTTCCACCTGACCGTTGGCCTGGGGGTGGCCGACCGATGTGAAGTGCTGGTTGATTCCGAGCTCGGCGCACCAGCTCCTGAAGGGATTTTCGGTGAACTGGCGCCCGTTGTCGGATATTAAGACATGCGGAATCCCGAAGCAGCAAACTATGTTCCTCCAGAAGAATTTTTGAATTGCTCTCCCAGAGATAGTGGCCAGAGGCTCCGCTTCCATCTACTTCGTGAAGTAGTCGATGACTACCACAAGGTGCTCGTATCTCTCCGGGGCTCGAGGGAAAGGCCCCAAGAGGTCTATCCCCCACTGGGCGAAGGGCCAGGGGCTATGGATGGGGACCATTTCCCGGGCTGGTTGGTGACGCAGTGGGGCGTGCACCTGGCAAGTTCGGCATTTCTGAACCAGGGCCGCGGTATCTTGGAACACCGAGGGCCAATAGTAGCTCAGGAGAAGGCACTTTTTAGCCAGTACTCGGGATCCCACATGGGCCGCACATAAGCCCTCGTGAACTTCATGAAAGATGTAGTCGCCCTTCTCTAGAGTCACGCACTTTATCCAGGGGGACAGATACAACCTCCGGTAGAGGATTCCCCCGGCGTAGGCATACTTAGCGGCTCTGAGCTGAAGTCGGCAGGCCTCAGTCCTATTTCCTGGCAGGGCACCCGAGTTGAGGAAGTCGATGAGGGGAGTCATCCAGGTGGTCGGGCTGTCTATAGCCAAGACCTGAACTTGGCTGATACTTTTCTGTTTGACCAATTCTACCAAGACTTCCTTGTTCAGGTGGGCAAACGAGGAGGACGCCAGTTTCGACAGGGCGTTCGCAAGCTTATTTTGTGATCTCGGCACCCGCTCGATTTCAAAAGTGTCGAACAGGGTGATTGCCTCCTGTACCTTGGCCAGGTATTTCTTCATGACATCCTCCTTGGCTTCGTATTCCCCGCGAACTTGGTGTACGACGAGCTGAGAATCGCTCCGGACTTTGATCGCGGTTATACTCATCTGGTGGGTTATCCGCAATCCTGTCAGTAGGGCCTCATACTCGGCATCATTGTTGGATGCCGGGAAGTCAAATCTGAGCGCGTAAGTCAGCTCTTCCCCAGTGGGCGAGGTGAGCAGTAGACCGGCTCCGCTTCCTTCCTTACTCGAGGCCCCGTCTACGAATAGCACCCATGGCTCCTCCGGCCATATGTTCTCGCGCAAAGGGCTTGGCTCGGTCAGGGTCAAGCTAGCCCCCTCAGCAAGGAAGTCTGCCAAGGCCTGAGCCTTGATAGCGGTGCGAGGTTGATAGCCGATTTCGTGCTCGGCCAGCTCGACGGCCCACTTGGTCTTCCTGCCCGAGACCTCGGGCTTTGTAAGTATCTGCCGTAGGGGCTGATCCGTTATGACGATGATGCTATGGGCCTGGAAATAAGGTCGGAGCTTACGAGCAGCGTGTACCAAGGCAAGGACCAGTTTCTCCGCCGGCGTGTACCGCGTTTCCGGCCCCTGCAAAGCTCAGTTGACGTAGTATATTGGCCTCTGAACCCCCCTGTCCTCCCGCACCAAAACCACGTTGACGGCCTCGTTGCAGGCAGACAAGTATAGGAACAGGGTTTCTCCCTGCTCCGGGGCGGTCAAGGTAGGCAGCTCGGCCAGATATGCTTTCAGGTCGACAAAGGCTTTCTGATATTCTTCAGTCCATTGAAAGTCTTTGGGGGCTTTCAGGATTCGAAAGAAAGGCAGTCCCCTGACCGCGGAATGCGAGAGGAACCTGCTCAGGGCAGTCATCCTCCCCGTGAGCCGCTGGACCTCCTTTACGTTCCTCGGAGGGGCCATGCCCATGATAGCCTGGAGCTTATCCGGGTTGGCCCGGATCTCTTCTCGGGACACCAAGAATCCCAGGAACCTTCTCGACCTGACCCCGAAGGTGCATTTTTTCGGGTTCAGCCACATCCGGGTGTCCCACAGGATATCCAAGATTTCCTGCAGGTCTGGAATGAGCCGCTGGTCGGTTCGGCTTTTGACGATCATGTCATCCACGTAGACCTCCATACTTCTGTCGATCTGATTTTGGAACTGTGTGTTGACCAGGCGCTGGTAAGTAGCTCTAGCGTTTTTTTCAGCCCAAATGGCATGGTCTAGTAGCAGTAGGTTCCTTCCTCGGTGATGAAGGAAGTCTTTTTCCAGTCCTACTCAGCCATCTCTATTTGGTGGTATCCCTTGAAGGCATCCAAAAAGCACAAAACGTCAAAACCCACAATAGAGTCTACTAACCTGTCGATCCTTGGCAGGGGAAAACAGTCCTTTGAACAGGCCTTGTTGAGATCTGTGAAATCCACGCACATCCTCCACGACTGGTCCTCATTCTTCACCAGGACGGGATTGGCCAACCAGGTCGGGTAATGTACCTCCAGGATGATCTTGGACTCCAGCAGCTTGCCGACCTCATTCTTGATCACCTCGTTTCTCTTCGGGGCGAAACTCCTTTTCTTCTGCTTCACCGGCTTAAAGCGAGGATCCACGTTGAGGTGGTGGACTGCCAGGTCGGTCGGAATCTCGGGCATGTCCTCAACCGTCAATGCAAAGACTTGGGAGTATTCCCTTAACAGGGCCTTCAAACCCTCCTTCTCCTCCAGGGGCAGCAGCGCTCCGATGCGGATCACCAGGACGGGCCGGTATTCCCTCAAGGGAAACTCCTCGATCTCGTCCTCGGTGCCCAGCTGCCGGGCCTCCTCCCCTGGAATGTATGGCTCCAAGCAGGTCGTCTGGGCCACCATCTTCTCCTGTCCTCGAAGCATGGTCAAGTAGCAAACTCTGGCCACCTCTGGATCACCGCGCACCTCGGCTACCCCTCCCGGAGTGAGGAACTTGATGCTAAGGTGGAGTGTGGAGGGAATAGCTCGGAGGGCGTTCAAAGCAGGCCGACCCAGGAACACGTTGTACGGGGATTGTTGCTTGACCACCTTGACAGGGATGGTCCGGCATTTGAGGACCTGCCCTACCGTGACCATTAGGGTGATCATTCCCTCCGGGTTGATAGGCGGTCCGGTGAAGCCCACAAGAGGTGTCCGAACTGGGGTCAGTTGTCCATCCTCCAAGGCGAGCTCCTTGAACACCCGATAAAACATAATATCAACCGCACTCCCTTGATTGACATACACCTTCTTCACCCGATAGTTGTTGGTGACAATGTCTATCACGATGGTCTCGTGGTTCCCGGACGCTAGAGAAACTGCATCCCTTGGTCCGAAAGTGATTTCCTCATCCATGCGTAAGCGCTTCAAGGAATCATTCCCCTCGGAGGGAGGTCGCCGATTCTTCCGAGCTGCATGGCTGTCCCCCCCGTGGGACCCCCAGCGATGGTGTTTATCACCCCCGCTAGGTTCTAGGTGTCTCGATCGGGGGAGTGGCTCCGAAGCGCGTCACGTGGTCAGGGCAGTCGCGATGTCGGCCCTCACCCCAATCTCCGCGATAGGTACGCCCGGGCTCCTGGCCGGGGCGACCTTGCCACACGAATCGTCCCAAGAAGCCGCGCTGGACCAGATCCTTGATCTCCTTCTGCAAGGCCCAACACCCCTCCGTGTCGTGTCCGACGTCGCGATGGAAAATGCAATATCGGTCCTGGTTCCTTTTGTTCCGAGGTGTCCCCATCTTGGATGGCCGACCTCCCAAGCCTTCCGCCTCCATAACAGCCAGGATCTGGGCTCCAAGCCGAGTCAATGGGGTGTAACCTTTCTTCGGGAGTGGTGGCGGAGCAGGGGCTTTCTCCCTCGAGAGCCGGTCAAAGACGTTCTTCTTGGCCGGACCATTCTTGTTCTCGGGGGGGGGGGGGTTTCCCCTTCCTCTCCGATATCCGAACTCCCGATTTGACTCTCTCTTCAGGCAGCCCGCCTCCTCCGGATTAGCGGCCGCGTGCGCCCTGGTCAGGAGATCCTTCAGATTTCCAGGAGGCTTCTCGTCCAGTTTGTAGAAGAGCTCCTCTACCCTAAGTCCATTCATGAAGGCGGCCATGACCACCTTTTCATCTTTGTCCATGATCTGTAAACTCTCCGCGTTGAAACGGGTCTTGAAATTCCTCAGTGACTCGTTGGGCCTCTGCCTGATAGCCATTAGGTGAGTCGCATTTTTCGAGTAAGTTTTCGAGGAAACGAACTGGGCGACGAACTGTCTGGCCAGTTCAGGAAAATTCCGGATAGACCCCGGTGCCAGACCTTGGAACCAGAGCCGAGCCTTCCCCTTTAAGAACATGGGAAAGGTCTTGCAGCGGATTTCATTCGTGACTGTTTGCAGACGCATGTGCGTCAGGAAGACCGAGAGGTGGTCTTCCGGGTCGGTTGAAGCGTCATACATCTCAATGCTCGGGATCTTGAACCTCCGGGGTAGTGAGCAATCCTCTATCTCCCGGGGGAAGGGCGAGGTGGTGTAGTTGTCCTCGTACAACTGTGGCCACAAGATCTGCTCGAGTTCGTCTCGAACAGGCTTCCACTGGGGAGGGTTTCGCAGCCGACTCTTAATAGATCGGTCGGGAGAGCGATCGGGCTCGTTCCACACAGGTTTGCGCGGGGAGGGGTTTCTCGGCCTACTCCCCGCAGACCTGCCACCGAAGTATCTTTCGCTATCCCCGACCACCGAGACTCGGGGGCGAGGAGGAGTCCGTGGCCGTTTTCTTCTGGGGGGCTGGTCGCGTGACTTATCTTCCGAGGGGTCGGGAAGTGATTCCTTTTCTTTCCCCTTCACCTTGGAGGCCTGTGCGCCACCGGCTTCGCCCCCTCCTTCGCCTGCCGGATGATGTCTTCAAGCATGGGGAGGTTCTCCGTCACGAACTGGAAAATCTGCTGTCTCTGTTCCCCTGACAGGGCTGAGCCCCCGGCGCCCGGATCCGCCCCGGTCTCCATTCGCCGGGACCCCTCACCAGCTCCAAGGCCGGTGCTCTACACGGTCCGCTTGGAACGCGTTCTCGCCGTCAACGCAACTGCACTTACCTCTCGTTCCCACAGACGGCGCCAACTGAAAAAGCGCTGAGCTTCCCCGGACCGATCTGACCTGACTAACTCGGCGTGCTGATGGGAAGAGCTGGTTCCAAGCCTGCAAGACAAATAAGAGAGTGGTCTAACAAGGGGGCCCCGAGGTCGTCCCCGAGGGCACTCCGACGGTCAAGTTAGCTCTCTGGTGAATGAAGTTCACGGGGAATAAAGCAGCCGGGGGTAATGTGCTGATAATGAGCGTACCTTGTGTAGTTGGTGTGCGTTACCATTTATACCTGAGTGAGAGTCCGACCTCCGTACGTTTCGGGACTTGCCCGGTATAACCACAATCCCGGGCTGAGGGGGATTCTCCCCGCCCTCTGCGGGATTGTTCCCTGGAACCTCTTGGGAGCCCTAATGGTTGTTAGAGGCCTGCGATCCAGACCCAGTTCTGCCCTTCCTGGGCTTCCACGTGTCTAGGCCCAGGACGGGGCCTCTGCACATTCCAAAAATATTCTTCTAACATTTACTATCTCACCCCCGTCCTCCACTCATGCAAGAAAAACAACTAAAGGGGTTGAACTAATGTCCAATGAGGTTTCAAGTATATCCAGCAGTCCAATAGAATCACAGAGTTCACAACCCAACAATAAAACACATTACAACAATTAATATTCTAAAACAAATAATACATTTAATATGAAAGGATACGGTATTGATACGGACTCAAGAGATGGCTCCCGTCCGTTTTTTGGTGTAGCATTTAGTTCAATTCAGCCATTTAATGTCAACAATCAATATCAAATGATACGATACTGATACGGACTCTAGAGGTGACTCCTATCCATTTTCAAACGTAGCACTTAGCTCCGTTCAGTAATTCAGTGTCATTTTCCTAGGTAAACAGTAACCAACATTCTCCTTTCTTCCAACATTCTCCTTTCAGTAGATCATACTCGAATATACCAATAAACAGTACTCAAGGAGTATCGACCTATTCGACCGAACCCATTGCTGTCACGAATACGCTGACCATCGATGGGATTTGGGCCCAAAACGGTCAAGCACAGTTAACAGTAGCAGTTAAATAATTAATAGCTCCCAAAAGCAGTTAGATCGAGTGTGATAAAGTACACACTCGCTTTTCAATAAAACAGTAGCAATTACCAAATTTTCACTCTAAACAATTCAAATGTCAATAATCCAACAAGTATTAGTCAGTTAGGCACGCAACATTTATCATTCATCAAGTATTCAGTCATTACAAACAAATGTAGAATACTCACCCAAAGTAATTTGAGTTCACTACCCGGTGCTTGGACCCTCCTCGGTTCTTTCTCGGTTTCTGAGATAGTTATAGATTTATTAGTTTATTTATTATTTTCCCCAATGGTGAAATTAAGGTTCACATGATGAATTTAGCTAAATGTATATAGATGCATATAGGTATAATTCGAGATATTTAAATGCATACATATATGAGGGTTTTAAGGTGATCTTATTACTTATCTTATCCTAGTACATCAAAGATTCAAAGTCTAGGTAGTTTTAATCTTTCAAATCTTAAAGTTCCATATTTTTACCAAAAGAAAGTAAGATATAGTGGTTATATGGCAATTTACATTTTATAATGAAGGTTTGAATTTAGATTCTAAGGATCAAAAGGATCATTTTAGAAATCAAAGTTCAACGTTGACAAATTTCCTAGAGATTGGCAGCTTACAATTCCTATGAACTTTTGTGATTTCGTCCTATATATTGGATGAATTTTCACAAGTAAAACTGTTATAAGATGGTTTGAAGGGGTTTTGGTCAGTTTTGGGTTCAAGTTCCATTTTTGAATTCAAAGTTAAACCCAAAACCTGCGCATTTGTTCAAAATGGTTAGAAACAGTTTCTCAGCTATATATCTTCATTGACATTTCATTTAATGCATCAAACATCAACCAAATTCAACATGCTTTCACATTAACATTGCAATAAGATTACATATCTTTGAAATCCCGCAAACTTTCCAAAATCTTTGTTTTAAAACAAGAATTGCAGCTAGACTCCCAATCGGGCAACTAACAATAGTCTCACAGCCATATAATCCTTATATAGCCACTCCAGCCCCATTAAATGAATTTCCACCTAGGAAAACTAGCATGCAACACTAAATAAAGATTGTATTGAACATATAAATGAGTTTTCTAACTAAACTCTTAGATATTTTGGATGAAGAGTTGGGAAACCAAGCTTTCTTTCCTCACGACCAAAGCTGGAAATTCCAGCAAGAAACCAGCCATAAAACTCAAGTTTTCACCATAGAAACCCACATGCATCACCCTATAAACATTATACAAGACATAAAGCATGGATTCCAGTTATAATCTAACAAAATTCTTGAAGAAAAGAACCAAAATTGCAGCTTCATTCACTCGGATCCAACAACAAATTTGCAGCTAGGTTTTCTTCCAAGTTTCTAGTTAAAATACCAATCTTTAACCTTCTTAATTCAACACAATGCACCACATCTCATATAAAGTGAGAAATAAGACTTGTAGCAGGAAGTCTTGCGAATTTTTCATCTAAAATTTCAAAATAAATCTAAAAGATTCTAGCTTCTCCCTTGGCTCAAAGCAGGAAAATTTCCAGCATGAAAATAGTTTGGAAAACGGAATTTTCTCCACTAAAACTCTTTATTTTTCACTGAAATCCAACATGCATGTCAAGATTACTGTGTTATAAATGTATTAAAGAACAATATAAAAATTTTACAGCCAAAATTTATGGAAAAAAGCTGGAAAATTCCTTCCTCCCTTATTCGGCCAGTCAAACAAGTTTTTCCAACAGTTCATTCAACTTTTCCATCCAAGTTATCAACCTTCCACTAGATTCAAAGGTAAACCTGCTATATATTTCATACAAAACAAAAAATAAGGCATATATCATACATTCCTAGTAAAATTTCTTCCAAATTTTTGAATGAAAAGCTGTGAAACTCAAGCACTCTGCCTCTCGGGCAACACAGAAAACTTTCCAGTAGGTAACCAGCTTTTAAGCACAGTTTTCCTTCAAGTTTTTACACTGATCTTTCTTTTCTTCAAGTGAAATTCTGCATGCATGACAAGATAAAAGAGTTAGAGAGTGTGTGTGTTGCATACAAATGCATCTTAATAGATTTTGTGAGAAATAACCACAGCATTGCAGACGGATCTCATGCAGTGAGTTCAGCAAAATATTTCCAGCTTTGAAGCATTTTTTCCTTGATTAAGTTCCTCTTTTCTTGATGGTAGTTCAAATTAAGACATTATAGAACTAAGG